GAGAGAGAGAGAGAGAGAGAGAGAGAGAGAGAGAGAGAGAGAGAGAGGCGAGAGACAGAGAGAGACAGAGAGAGACAGAGAGAGACAGAGACGAGAGACACAGAGACAGAGGCAGGAGAGAGGCAGAGACAGAGATGAGAGACACAGAGAGAGACAGAGATGAGAGACATAGAGAGAGACAGAGATGAGAGACACAGAGACAAAGAGACAGAGAGAGGCAGGAGAGAGACATAGAGATGAGAGACAGATGAGAGAGAGACAGAGAGGAGAGAGAGGAGAGAGAAAGGGATAAGAAGAGGAAGAGGAAAGGGAAGAAGAAAATGTCTGAATTATATAGAGAAAAGCCTAGGGATGAGGGAAGGGCAGCCCAGCCCTTGGGCTGAAAAGTTCAGAGTTGGGGGCAGGGTATTCCAGGTAGGGACTGAGGGATGCAGGGAGGACCTGGAGACCAGGTCTGCTTTGATACGTAAAATTTGCACCTCAGTCCCTTGGTCACTGGAATCTGAAACCTGATGTTCAAGCCAATAGAATAATTAAGAGAAATGTCGTATATTAGAACATAATACTTGCCTAATCCTTTTAGGAATTTTTTTTCCAACTTTTGCTCTTTATTGCTGATAGGCTCTTTGGCTGTGGCTGGCTCTTCAGGAGCAGTGGGTTCTCTGTCTGTCTCTTCAGTGGTTTCTTCATAGTCACAGTCCTCGTTGTCCAGTGCCTCTGTGTTTTGGGGCTGCTCCTTAGTTTCGGAGGTGCCCTCTTTCCCTGAGGGACTGGCAGCAGACCCGTACATGCTTATGATGTCTTCCAGTTGTCGGCTCAACTCTTCGGAGAGATCATGGGCTCCCTTCTCAGGATGTAGGCTTGTCTCTTGCGCTAGTGCTTGGCCTGAGGTTGAGGACTGCTGGACACCTTGCTTTCCTGGACTGTTTTGATTGAGTGATGAGCTGTCCCCTGGGGGATTTGGCTGTTCTACTGAGAGCTGATCAGGATGATTAGACTCCATATGGGAGAGGAATCTGGTGGGAAGCACAGTAATGTTTTATCTAATGAATTCGATTACTTACTAGTTCAGAGAAGTGCCAACTAATTTTGGTATCTGCCACAGAATAAATGAACTTTCATATATCATCGACACTAAATTCAGATCATATTACTGTTCTATTTTAAGTTTAATTTTCACATTTTAGTAGTGTCCCTTTTTGTTAAAATTGTCTGAGTTAATTTATAGTATTTATTTTTATGAATATATTTGTCAATTTGTGTTAAGATTTTCAGGTACTTAAAAGTGCATGTACATAGACATTTTCATTCAAAGTTTAATTTTTATTTAATTTTTAATTTAATATTTAATTCAAGAGCCATTGTGATTACTAAAATTCATTCATCGTAGTTTACCCCTAAGATATTTTTAATCTTTAAGTAAAAAATTTAATTTGTATACTTTCATACAAACACATTATTAGGTAAAATCACTTTTCTAGTGTTTTCTCCCTGACAATGAGCAACATTCAATTATCAATCAGAAAAAAATGTTCATACTAACTTCTTAATTAAAACAGAGAATGAGGAATATATAAATAAGCCAATAATATGAATGAATGATGATCCTTATGAATGTATTTTCATGTGTATATATGCATATAGTGTATTCACACACGTGTGTATGTGCACATGTGGAGGCCAGAGAAGGATTTCTGGTGTCACATTCATCTTATTTCTTTGAAACAAGAGTCTCTCACTGAACCTGGCACTAGGCTGGCAGCCAGCAAGCCCCAGTTATCCTCCTGCCTCTGTTGATAAACAGCACTGTAATTACAGGCTCATTTGACTTCATCTAAGTTTCCACAAGGTTGTCAGGATCTGAACTCAGATCCATATGCTTGTATAGCAATCTTACCCACTGAGCCATCTCTCCACCCACATACAATACCAACTCCTTAAATTTCTATAACATTCTTCTACTCCAGAAACTGACTTCATCTTAGAAGTAAAGAGATTATAATTTTCTAACTCAAGAAGTTCTAGGAAACTGTAAGAATTTTAAGACATAGCAATTTATGTCTTAAACTAGAAAAATAATTCAAATCAATATAAACTCAAACAAGGAATGCTGGGGCATGTCTATTTATTATTCTTCACGGAGGCAGGAAGGTCAGAAGTTCAAGATCATTCTCAGCTACATAGAGAGTCCCTGGCCTGCCTCTGTTATACAATTCTGTTCCCCAGCAGCAACAGCATCAAAACCAACATCTAGATAATAGAATAGTCTTTGGGAAATATGGAACAATACAAGAAATTCCATCAAAGATTCTAGGCTTTGCTCCTACCATGTTGAGGGACAGATAGATGTAGCTTAGGTTATTAAGTTCTGGTACATTTTGTTTATAAATAGAACTCAATAATTATGCTGCTAATTAACAGCATAAAAATATGGCAACATCCTCTAGCTTCACAGGCCTTGCAGTTGTGTTGGCATGTCAGTGGAAACAAAAACACACTGTGCTCCAAACTGCGCGTCTTCCTTGTCCCATTTTTAGGGCAAGTGTCAGGCACTTGAATGTAGTAGGTATTGAACTCTTGAATGCTAACAACAGAGTGGGAAACGCAGTGTACAGACACTCCCTACGCACCTATGGCACTCACCCAGCCTTTGTTGACTTAGAAGGAAGTTCACTCATTTTAATTCAGCCACTTGGTTATCACATAATGTGGCAATGTCTCCACCAGTGCAATTTAGATCCTGACCTCCACTCGCTATGCTCTCTGCTATATATAACTTCTACCTCCCCCCAGCACACTGAAAGACATGTGTCACCTGCTGTCCAGCCAGAAGTTATTTTAAGTTCTTCTAAAATGAGTCCTGACATTTAGCCTTTCATCTCTGAAGTCAAGAGAATAGGCTCTAAGGCAGACTAAAAATAGTGAACATGTACTGGTTTGAATCCATATGTGAACTTTTAAGTGCAGGGGAGATTATCATTGGGTGAGATCTAGAGTCAATCAAATTTCAAAGCAGTTATTTCCAACAGTCTATGGGCCTTTTACTGTGGTTAGGCTACATGAAAATATTTGTGTGATCTAGTCAAGCCATCAGATGCTACAGTTGTTTTTCATACTTTGGTCCATGGATAGTCTTTAAATTCTTGTTCCACATTAATTGATGTGTGTGTGTGTGTGTGTGTGTGTGTGTGTGTGTGTGTGTAGCACTGGTGATCAATCCCAGCACCTCAAATGTTCCACTGTTGTGCTATATCTCTAAACCCCAACCTTCTTTTAAAACAGTAACCTGTTTTGTTTGCCGGACAATTTACTTCTTTAAAATGCCTCAGAACAAATTAACAAGAAGGAAAACCAAATATAACCAAAGCCAAAGAACTTTAAAATAGTCCCTTTCGTAGTAATTTATTTTCTAGCAAAGAAACTCTAAAATCTGTCTTTTACAAACGTTATTGGCTCTGTGCGCCTCCAGTGAGAAGAAATGTTTCCCTCGTAGCAGTCCCTGTGGACACACCGTCCCTTTCTGATCCACACATTGTCTTTAGAAGTTGAACAATGGAAAGCTCTTCTACCATTCACTTACATCTGCAACTTTTGAACACTACAGACTACAGGCTGCCCCTCACAGGGCTTGGAGGAGTGTTCATCACACTTACCAGAAGGAAGGGAGCTAAGCAGGAAGAGAAAGGAGAGGAAAGAGGTGGCAGAGAGTCAGAACAGCAACAGCAGCAGCAGCACGGGCAGCAGGAACAAGTGGCAGGGCTGTGTTCTTACAAGGAGGGAGAAACTGCACACACACACACACACACACACACACACACACACACACGCCCACAAAGGGAGGGGGTGGGGAAGGGAACATTCCATGACGAAGCAAGAGAGAAGTCTGCCTATGCTTCAGTACGTGTCGCCATGGGAGTATCCTTTGAAAGAAAAGCAGCTGGTAGATTGTGAGACTCTTTAAAATTCAAACCCGGATGAATGGCCTCCTGTTGCGGTTGCCCAACATTGTTGTTATTTTGGACACATCGGGAGTGTTTTTCTTTCTTGGTTTATCTCCTGTGTGGTTATGATTCAGTCGCTCTCTGTTGGGCTGGACAAGTTAGTGTCAGGTTTCTTTTCAGAATCACTGAAGATGGGGTGGGGCATAGCACAGGAGAGGTGGCAGAGACCCCAGTTCTGAGGACACTGCTTTCTTCTTATTACTATTGTTTTTGCAAAGTTTGAAATGCACATTTAGGAGGCTTTTGGAACTGTGGTTTAGGTAGTCTTTGCAATAGTGGTGTGTCCAGAGCTGACATCTCATGTGCTCGCTCGCTCACCCTAAAAATGCCTTCCTAGTGCCTAGAGGCAAAGAGGTAGGTGGCTCTCTATGACTTCAAGGCCAGCCTGCTTAATATGGTGAGTTCCAGGACAGTCAAAGGAAAGTGTTAATAGCCTATTTAAAAGAAACAAACCTTCCTCCTAACTCACACTCTGTCTTAATTTTTCTGGAGAATGTATTGCTATGTTTTACCAAATCAGATTTTTTTTTCCCTTTCCAAGTTTCTGCTCTGGGTATAGTCTGGGCAGAGCATCTCTGAGAATAGTCACTGCCAAGATGTCCGTGCCCTCCTGGGGTAGCTCTTGAATCTGACATTTTACATGAGAAAGGGACTTGCAGATGTGGTTAAGGAATGTGAGATGGAGAATCATCTAGAATGATCTGAGGGAGGCCCATTAATCACCGAGTCCTTATAAATGAGGCAAGCAGGCTGAGAATCAGAACAAGAGATCTGTTGATCTTAGTGAGGTGTATAATGGAGTAAGCTTCTGCACTGAGGAACATAAGAAGCCTTAGAAGCTGGGGAAGGCAACAAAACACATTTCTCTCAAGCATCCAGAGGGATGCCGCTACACTGATGGCTTCACCTCAGACCCCACGAAACTCATTTTGGACTTTTAGCTCCAGAACTGTAAAATAATAAGTTTAGGTTTTTAAAGCTTCTACGTTGGCGGAAGATTGTTAAAAGGAACAGAAAAGGGAACTAATGCACATCCAACTCCCAAGTGCCTCCTTACTCTCAGAGCTCAGAGTGATGTAAGTCACATACATGTAAAGGACTGAGAAGGAGTTCAGGAAAGGCATGAAGAGAAGAACCAACCTGACAAGGAGAAAGTGTGACAGAGACATTGCAGTGACTGTTACTCCTGAGATTTGCCGGAGAAAAAACCAATTTCACCAGTTCAGGACAAATTAAAGCAAGCTTTATTAAATATCAAATACTGACCACCAAATCATCGACTTTGATCAGGACCATTCCCTGGAATTTCTCAGCTGGAATGGCCTTGAGCCATGTGTAGCAGGAGTTTATAAGGACAAACCTACAGGCCGCCATACTTTCCCATGAGACTTTCCTATTTTCCAAGAACTATGACTCCCAGCATTCCATGAAGTTACCTAGTCCTTGGGCAACTGGGGTTTACAGGTTAATTTTGGGCATTGCATGACAAATAGAATGAAGTTGGTGAAGGAAAATAATATTCTCTCCTTAATCCTCATGTAGCAAATATTCAGTAAACACAAGTCAGGGGACAGCACATCCTGGACTGGAGCAATCAACTCAATCAGATCTTCGAGTACAAATTAGTACTAATCAAATTTAAATAAGGTACTGTTGGGGTACAATTTGTGAAGATGTGTCTCTGTATTATCAGTTGTTCAACAGGTACCTGCAGAAAACTAAGTACTAGCCAGCTCTTAGTATTGTTATTTCCATGGCCCGTTACCAGCCTCATATTTTGCAAATATTCATCCTTCCTTACTTGCCTATTGGATGTAATAAAGAATTTATAGCCAATAGCTGAGCAGGGAATAGAAAGCAGAACTTCCAGGCAGAGATAGGAACTTTGGGAGAAGCAATCAAATTCGAGAGATTCACAGGGATCACAGAAGGGATGATTCAGAGCAGAGCAGAGAGGTAGACCTGGCCATGGGACAGAAGGTAGGCCAGAATTAGTCAGGTAGAGTAGTTGGGAGACTGCCAAGCTAAGGCTTTAAAATATTAATCAGACTCCATGCCATTATTTATATAGCTGGCGGGGCCATGAAAAGTCCTACTATAAGATACAAGCTCTTTTAACGAAATAATATTGAAACTAATGGAAAAGGAAATCTAATGACTGAACTGTATTATTATTATTGTGTATGTATACACCATATGTACTAACATGAAAACAAGCATAACTTTCTTATATTTGTCCTTTTCTTTTCTCCCTGTCACCACATAGGGTTTCTCTGAGTTTCAAAGTGAGTTCCAACTTTTTAGACAAGGCTAGCCTGGAACTCACAGAGATCTCCCTGCTTCTGCCTCTCAAGGGCTGAGATTAAAGGCATGTGCCACCACCAACCGGATAACCTTTCTTATAGTTATGATAAAATATACATTTTTCATATATGTATTACTTTAAACTTCCACAAAACTGAATCACAGAATGACCCACCTCTGTCTTAAGATTTTTGCATAGGAGTTGGGTGTTGCTAAACACGGTCAATGTTAATTCTCTAGGGGTTTTTATTATAAACATCCTTTGATATTTTAAATGTCAGGTGTGATTCAGTCAGTTGCTTGATTGATGGACAGCTAACAGATTCTCTACCCTCTGTGGCTGCTTGGAGTAGGAAGCATCCCAGCTCCTTAAAAAGCTTCTCTGGCCCTTTGGGAATCATGTAACCTCAGCTTCAAGAACAATTGTGACCATGACTGGAACTGAAGCCAACAAGGTCAGCTTTGGGAGATCATGCTCCAGCCAGGACCTCTCTCCACACAATCTGTTTCAGCTTTGAAAAACTCTAGATAGCAAGGCTAGGCAAACCTTGGTAAGCTCTGCAGCGTCTCCGGCTGTGACTTAGGGGGAAAAAAATCTTGTGATTGGTGGAATGGGAACTCATCATTAGCTTTGTATTAGGCTTGGGACAAATGGAGTTGGAAGCTGTGCATTGTGGGACTACGAATGGTGGAATTAGACTGAACATGAGCATCTGGGCCCCTCTATTTAAACAGACTACTCTTTTCAGGTAAGTCTGGGTAGCTTCCACCCTGCTCTGTTCCCTGATATTGCAACATTAGGCTCCAATAAAGATTTCTCTTGAGTAGTGTTTTTGCCTGGTTGGGATTTTTATCACAAGTAGGATAGGTTAGGATGGTTAGGAACGTCAGTCCTCAGATTTCTAACTGTGGCATCAGCAGTGCTGGTATGGAGGCTGCCAAGAGTCCCAGAGCCATGAGCCCCAATGCCCAAGGCTGTGAGCTATATCTATAAGAGGCAGCTCAAAGAGGTCAGAGCACTACCAAGGACAGGATCTGCATGAGATTAAAGATATTAAGAATAGTAGGGAAGCTGAGACTATGGAAGACAAAGGAAAGGAGACTATCAAGAGGCAGAGGCAGGAGCCAAGGTTGTAAGGATCGTGAGCCATGGTTTCTGAAGAGTTTGAAACAACTTCTAATGGTAAAGAGCTGAGGGTCCCAACACTAAAGCTTAGGAGATATCACACATGCTGTGTTGGTGCTTTAAGGGGAACTGACATTTCATCTTGAGTAGTTAGAGAAGTAATCTTCTGGCTCAGACAGCTTGGAATCATTGTGGAGAGGGCTCTTCCAAAACAAAGCATACCAGGATCAGTGTCTATGTGTGCGTGTGTGATTTTATCGCAGCTCTGTAATATAGACCACACAATCAGAATGTATGATACCGTATAAGGAAGAAAAAGAAGGAACTAATGAAACTAATGAAACAGCTGAACTTGGAGCTCAGCCTTTAGACATGACTCTACCTCACCAGTGCTGGCATGAATAAATACTGTTCTCTGTTAGAAAACTTCAGTGTATCTTGACTCAGAATCCTGTTGCATCATAAGTCTCTAGTATTCAAGACTTAAGGCCTTCTACCTCTGGTTTTAAAGTCAAGTTTGTGGGTGTTAGGAACAGCTAAAGGAGCTGTTCCATTGCTATTTTTATCTATCTAGAGGAAATAAATCTCCAGTTATTGGCTTATTGACAAGACCAATAAATGTTAGTCAAATTGACAGTGTTGATTGAATGACAAATAATGGTTGCAAAACCCAAATTGCAATGTGGAACATGAATATAGTGTCAGCTGCTAGTCAGTCTGAGCTCCTAATATTTTTCTACAGTGCACAGTGGGAAATGGTTCAATTTCCTCCACACTTGATCCATTCCAATTATTACATAAGTTTTGTTCATACAACTTGCCATGATGTCGTTGCACAGACACATGTTCATGCTCTCTCTCCCCTGAGTGTTTATATTTCCTTCAGAGTGACATTGGGAGATTAGGCTTTTGGGAAGTCATTAGGCAATTTGGATGGAAATCACATAATTTAAGTTGGGAATGCCTTTCTGCAGGGGATTGGAGGAACTGCCCTCCCTCCTCCTATGAGATTATAGTGTCAAGATGGCTATCTTTAAGTTGTCATCAGACATGGAATCTGCCTACACTTTGATCTTGGACTTCCAAGACTATTAACTTGTAGGAACTCACAATATTTTATTAGTATTAGTTAAGTCAGCGAGGGGAAAAGAATAACAGCTATGTGATAGTTACTCAAAACATCTAGAGTGGGTTCATATGTCTTCAAAATTCATAAAGGCATAGCTCATAAGAGGCCACCCATGGCCCAGGATTTTGATTAGGTTAATAAATGAAGAAAACTTAATACATCTCTGTTTATTATAAAAGACATGAAAGAGTACACAAAATATAAGTCTAAACCTTTGAGCTATTGTAATGAGTAAATTTAATTTTCAAAAATCATATTTTAATTTTTATGCAAATATGGGCAAA